GAGTTACAAGTACTGTTTGTTCTGTTCTGAGTTCATGTGATTTCTTCCCCCCCCCCTCTCTCTCTTTCTCTCTCTCTTTCTCTCTCTCTCTCTTTCTTTCTCTCACTCACTCACCCACTCTCTTTTGCTTTCTCTTACTTCATAATCTGAGAACTGCTCAAAATAATACTGAGCACTTTGAAACCTCTGCAACGATTGCTCAGTTGAGTTATTATAATATATTTTAAAAGAACTGTTCACACATGAGCTGAACACCCTGTTACATATATAAGCAAACCACCACGTAGAAATGTCCTGAAATTTAATTTAATATTTATTTGTAATGTCATTGTGTTAAGACATTCTGAAAAATATCAGCAGCAACCCCAGGTACCTTGCAACAAATAGACTCTCTCTTCGCGGCGCCGCGCGCGGCATTGTATTAAAGCTGGCTGCCGACTATGATCATACTCTACGAACTTCGGTCCTTTCTCTGTCAGTCAGTCAGGGAGGGAGGGAGGGAGGGAGGGAGGGAGGGAGGACTGTGTATTTAAGTCTTAAGAACTTCATTTATTGGTCCCCATGTTGACTAGTCGTGCAACAGAGTACCGGGGGGGGGGGGGCAATATTTATCTTAAAAAGCCTGTTGTCCTGCCTTGTAACAGACAGGAAGGCAAATCTTACAATAAAGTCCTACTGGAGGAATTAGTTATTTTAAGACATAGTAAGAAACAAAGTATTGAATTTCAATTTGACACTGTGATTTCATGATTTGTTTCCTTTTCTATCACACAAAGTGCACCCCCCCCCCCTCCCCCGAAATGGTTTAACTATTAAAACGATGATTTTTATAACAGTACCTTTTGTCTTTTAAAATGGGTTAAAAACTTACTATGTATTGATGCACAAATACACACTAGTCGTTGTTAGATGTCGTTGGGTTCCTTAGCCTATTAATATAACGTTGAGTTGACAGTGCCGTAAAACATCTACTAAATCAACCAATAACACAGTTTCACCCAACTAATTGAGTCTCATTGCTCCTCTCCTTACTCTGTGACACTTATATAAATCGCTTTCCTTCACGATCTATGACCAAGATCATCGCTCATATAATCATTCGCAACTCGTCATTGTGTCGTGATCTCACAGATATATGCAAATTCGAAGAATGAAAGGCAGGATCTCACTGCCCGAGTACGGGCGCCAGTCTGTCTAGCAAATTCGGATCGGGTGCAGACCTGATGGACGAGTGGGATGGTCGGGAAACAAAAGCACCGATGAAATCACTGTAGCCCTATGCACCGAATCATGCATTGCTGTAATCTAATACGGGGTGTCCATTGGGGAATCGGGTCTGGTCAGGGCAGTTTGCTAGCCAGATTGAGGGCGCAAAGCAGTTATATCGTGGCACAAGCCGATCGCGCCCGACCCCCCGACAAAAAACACAAAAAATAAACGCGTTTGTTTTCTGGCGACGACGAGTGGGGCGATCAAAAACAGTAGACCACGACTATTGCGGGACATTTCGCTACCTCAGAATTACAAAGTTCTATCTGCTAAGTACCTAGTTTTGAGAAAATCGAAGTTGAAAATTTTGAGTGTCATAGCATCTTCAAACTTTTTCGAAGGCACCAATTTTTAAAATTATTTATGTAATATGATGCAAACTGAGTTGTAACTGGTGGTTTTAAGCCATTTTGACTCTGATTCTTTCCAGATGTAAAGTATTCCGTTTGCAGATAGAATTTTGTAATTCTGAGGTAGCGATTTGGTTCCAGAAGTAAAAACCTGCTGTGGGCAAGTTCCCGCTGTAGGAATGCAAAGGGGAAGTTACCGGAAAAAAATCACACGATTACTTCCCTTCCGTACACATTTTGCGCTTTAGTCTTCCGTTTCTTGTCGACTTCGTTGATTATCTCGGCCTTTAATTCGAGCGAGAAGCATTTCCTTTTGTCTTTGTTGGAAGCCATCTTTTCGTCGGTCTCGTTGCTTGTGCTGTCTATCGTATCGGTAGGCCTACTGTAGAAGAACTGGTGAAGTGGATGTGTGCGTATGACTATGAGCATCAACGATCGCATCACACACTACACGCTCAGATTCTCATCTTTTACTTTTTGGCCTAGCCTAGGCTTAGGGCTATTTTTGGCTATGGCCTATACGCTCTCATACTGAGAGTGTAAGCTACGGCACATCACTTCTGGAGAAGCTCATGTAACGCGTCTCTCCGCACCAGCTCTCTCTGCCGCCTGCCCCACCTCACTCATCTATGGACTGGCCAATCACAACGCCGCACCGCTGACTGCCTCCATGAGACCCACCTACAGCCCCCCCCCCCCCCAACACCCTTCCCCCCAGCTAGAGCTCGCTCGATCTCTCCCGCTGTATCCGAGTTCGGGCCTTCCCTTGCCCCGCTAAACCCGAGCACAAGTATTACGTTTACATATTTAAAAAAAAAGGGGGGGGGGAATTCCGGGATGCCCCCCCCCCCCCCCTCCTGTAGCGGGTGCCGCTATAGTGACACGTCATGTTTTACTGTACGGGGTGCCCATTTGGGGATTGGGTCTGGTCGGGGCGGTTTGTTGGCCAGATTGAGGCCGTAAAGCGGCTATCGTGGCACAAGCCGATCGCGCCGGACTTGCCGACTCCGACCTACTCTTCGCCTGCGCGTTTGTTTTTGAGGCGACGAGTCGGGCGCGATTGGCGTGTGCTACGATAGCCGATTTGCGCCCCCAATCTGCCCTAGCAAACCGCCCCGACCAGACCCGATCCCCCTATGGGCACCCTGTCATGCATGAACGCATCAGGTCGTTGACAACGTACGAACAGGGGCCTCATGATATTATTGAGGTCCACAAATATACCAGCTGGAAGAAACTAGTAATTCGGACAACACACACTTGCACCGAAGGTTGACAGCACGCGTGTTCACGTTGGCGATTCTGGTCAATCACAACGTGGTCTTTGAATGGGTCAATTTTTCAGGTACTATGCCAGCTCTATAAATTAAAGTAGAGAAGGCAACGTTCCAGTACAACGTAGGCCGAGGAGGTCGCCACGATACTCCATGTAGGCCTACACTGTACTTGAGAAACACTTGCATCCCAGTCGAAGACCACATTGTGGTCGACCCTAATAGCCAACGCGAACACGCGTACTGTCTACGTTCTATGCAAGCGTATGTTGTGTAGAGTGCGTAATATTATGGTGCTGTCTGTAAACCTACCCCCTAGCCCCCCCCCATCCCCCCGTGTACTTGTTCTCCATTCCCCCAGCCCCCAGGCGTTACCAGCTAGGCGATCATAAATCCGATTATATGACCGTCTAGGTTACCAGTAATGAAAGACAGTCAGTTACCGCATGGCGTCTCATCTCTGGTTCAGGGCTTTACAAGTTATAATAAATAACCTCCTTGGTCGACCTCCTTTATCAAAGGCCCCCAGTGTGTGACCTTTGTGGCGTGCGTAGAGCTGAGCTGTTCCCCATGTTCGACGTAACAAAATTATTAGAGGTTTGGGGGAAATTGCGGTACTTCACACTACCATGACCATTGACCACCCTTCCATCACCACACATTTCCTGCCTTCTTTTATGGACACCAAAGGTTTTACTAGATGCTCATTCCTGAACAATTTCAGTGGATAGGGGGGTGGGGGGTTGAAGCAGGGTGATGCTATCTCAGACCACAATGTGGTCAGACCACTCTCTGATCAGACTTTCATTTATTTTGCCTGCAAACTGTTTATATGTCTCAAGCCAAACGTTTCTATTTTTAAAAAAATGCAGTATCTTAATTAATCTGTGGTACTGGTTGCATGTGCTCTAGTACAAAATACCAACATTTACTGGAGTTGAAATCAGTAATCCTGTTTGAGGTCCATGTCTTTTATGACACTTTAGAGCATTGATTTGTAAGTATTTATTTTGCTGTATCGAAGTCTACATATATACATTTTAAGAAAATGAACGTTTTTTTCCCTCTCTTGAAAATTTTTTGTTTTTAGGGCTTGTGACATTTTAACATCTGGCCGACGATTTGTAGATGGGGTTCATGTATGTGTGTGGATTGGAGTGAACAAAATACACATGTATGCCTCATTTCAAAAGTCGGCTCTTACTCTGAACATTTTTATAATACATGTATAGAATTTAATGTGATGGCGTGTTTTAAGGGAATTGTGATTGGAGGGCGCCACTGGAAGGTCCTACTTCTCTACTTTCCCGCTGTTGTATCTGTCTGTGTATCTCACTTTTTCCCAACACAAAATGACCATTATTGTGTCGCTGTGATTCTTTTTACTCAAACAAAGTGTTTTGTGCTCTATAGACCTAATTTAAAATTATGCCTTGTCTGTTATCAGTTTTTAAGTAGCGTATCAGCAGAGTGTATTAATGTTGTAATATTCGTTGTCACTCTGTACTTTTACTATGAGCTGATATGACTGAACTGTGAGAGGACTGGACTTTTTAAAATCTTCAATCTCTCTTTTTCTCACCTGCCCCCACATGGTTAAGCAGAGTTTAATACATTGTATATGTATTCGGTATGCTGAGATTGTACAGCACTCATGAAATAAAAGGGTATTGTTTTCTCGAGAACTCTCAGATTACATACCGTTCTCAACAGACTATATAATGTGACTGAATGAGGTGGGCTCGCTTGGTTTCAGAAGTAAAATTAGTGAGAAAATGGCCGCCAAAGTTTGGTTATTTACAAATCTGTACGGTCCGTGGAAACTGACAATTTACATTTTTATGCCTTTAATCAACGTTTTTCAGTATAATTCACACTGAAATGAGTTCTTAAATGGATAGAAGGTTCTAAGCTAAAGTCTAAAATGCACAATTTCGATAAAAATTTCCAGACCGGTGGAAAAGAGTAAACATTTTTTACTTTCATTATTTTTACGAGCGCCTGATTTCACCTCGCTGTCTCACATATGATGTATTTTCAATACATTTCTACTGTCACCATCTACTAGCTGCAGCTGTACTAATCAGTTTGATTATTCTTGTTTCAGATGATTCATCACCCCGATCACATGTGGCACAGACACTGTCCCCTGAACTTATCACGGCATCTCCAGACTTGGCATGACTTGCACCTGATGTTGGATTTAATTTTATGACACTGGACTCTCCATGTAAATTTAAACAGTGCCAGACAATGGTAAATGTAGCTTTCATCCCTCCAAGTGCTCAGAGAGTGGAGACGTGTCATAATCAGTAACTTTTTAAAATCACTTGTTCTTTTTGTCTGTTTTTCATTTTCACTACACAGACAAATCAGCAGACCATTCATGAACTGCAGTTTTTGGGAGAATCCAATGTGACGATCCAGTGTGACTTGACTCTTCCTAGAATGTTTACGCAAGCTTCATAGGATGTGAACATACAAAAACAAGCGTGCTAGGATATTTTTCCACACACAAAAAAAGAGAACATGCTAATAAGTGGTCTCCAGAGTAGATTTTGAATACAAACATTCCCAAATTTTAGAAGAAATGTTGTCTATGGTGAACAGGCGAGACAGATGTTATTGTAGATTCTCTGGACAATTTGGGCAGTTTCATTTACATTCATGCTGTAGTTTATTTTGCAACTACTGGGCAATAGTATAGTGAATAGATCCATACCCTGATGGGTCAGTCAGTAATACGGACACTGACTCAGTATGACCAACAGAGCTACGCATATTGACATTCCGTTACTTACATCCAGGACTGATCTGGCCTTATGAAGAATATTATTTTATGCCAAAGTTTTGAAAGTAAGAACACTGCCAAACTCTGAAAATGACAGCTCTGCCATCAGGCCGAAAGATGGAGCTAAGTGTTCTTAGACGAAGGGTATGCTTATCATCAGCGCATTATCTTGCCTTCACAAGAGCTGTGACCTCTCAAGTTTTTGGGTTGAGAAAGTAAAACCATCACCTGGATTAGATTGACTGGGATGGACTTCAAGCGCGGAGAAGGGTTTTGTGGACGCAAACAAGTTATTTCAAGAGATTCCAAGGACAAGGACAAGAATATCATCATTACAGAGTAATGTCTAAAAACTTGTGTGGGAACTGAGATCATCGTTTTGTGTCATTATGACGTGCTTTGAGTGCCACGGTGTCTACGAGCTCTGCAGCACAAAAGATCAAAGGAAAGACACGTCTTGGAACGACAGGCGCGGATTCTTGTATGTAAGTTTTGTCATGATCCATATTATGAAGGTTTTTTTTTAAAATGTTTGTTTTTCACTTCTACTGTAAGTGTAAGCCAGTTGTACTGGGGCCTTTTTATGTACATTGTAGGTAATTTTGTATTGTGAATCGGGAGAGAGAGAGAGAGAGAGAGAGAGAGAGGGGGGGGGAGGGAGGGAGGGAGGGTTTTTTTTACCCATCATTATTTCTATTTCATGATGAATAAGTGGGAGGGGGGCTCTTGTTGTCTAGAGGTACGGTGTTTGCCTTTCATGTAATAATAGGTCCCGACTTTGAAACCCGACAGCCGCGGAACATTTTTTTCCTTTCACCTCCTTTCCTGCTCTCTAACGATGTTTTTGCCGTCAAAGTTCTCTCAACTTTGTGCCCCCTCCCCCCCTTTCAACTGCTATTCCTTGGATCCTTCTTACTACTGTCTTTGAGCTACACCCCTGATCTTAGGATAGGTAATATCTAACACTTAACTTTCTCCAATGAGGGCTAAAAAAACACAAAAAAACCCGACAAAAAAACCCAACAAACATTGAAGGTCCCCTGTGTAAGAATTGCGCTGGTTAAAGATCCAAAATTGCAGTGTAACCTAACACTTATTCGTATTTCCACAACTGAATTCTTTTTTCCCCCTTGCAGTGGGTGGTTGGCGGGTGCTCTGGTATGGTTTTCTTCTTTCCAATCAAACATCTGTCGTCCTTATCGCCCCTTCTTCTTTTTTACGTTTGTTACTCTCTTGTAACACCTCTAATCTTCTGGCGCTCATATGACCTTATGCAGTTGCGAGCGCCTTAGAACGTCAACTAAAACTTCCTCTTTCATTGGAGAGCGTACTCGAGATTTTAGTGTTAGACACATGGGCCTCACTAAACGATGAATCACTCTTGATCTAATTGTATAAATATTAAAAATTGCTTGTAGCTCCACCCACTCTCTCTGTAGTCAGTGGCGTCGGTGGCCTAGTGGCTAGGCTACCGGAACCGTAATCATGAGATTGCGGGTTTGGGTGTTCGAGCATCAACTTCGTCCGACGTTGTGTCCCCGGGAAAGACACTTTACACGAATTTCACATACAAAGTTGGCTCCGTCCTTTCCGAGATGGACGTTGAACTCGGAGGTCCCGCCTCTTAAATAACCTAATAATAATAGGGTTGATAGTTGCGTTAAACCAATATCCTTTCATCATTTTCACCACCCGCCCTCTTTACATCTACACCTATAGGTGACTCTGAAAAAAAAACAAATTTCACGTTTTTTCGAGACCGAACCCCAAAAAAGAAGTCTGTTTTAAAACAATTTTTTATTGGGGGGGGGGGGGGGTACCTTGCCGCTTTCTGCTTTAGAAATGCTTCGAGGGTTAGATGAACTGTTCTCTTCGGACTTGCGACTGAAGATGGCTGGTTGAAGGATTCTAAGCCTGGCTTTGGGATCGTATTTGATTTTCCGCACCTTCAGATTGTTTGGCCGTACTTAATGGTTTGATTAAAGTTGAAGTCCTGCCAGTAAAACCAAGTAAATTTGTACAGATCAGACATACAACTTTTGGCCGTTCTCAGATTTTTGGGGGCGTTCTGTTAGCTCCGTTGGTACCATGCTGAACAACGGAGTGGATGACCCTGGTTCAACTCTCTTTAATATTATTCAGAACCGTATTGCACCCGGCACTACAATCCACAGTGATGGCTTTGCTGCTTACACTAACATTGTGAATATTCCTGTTAACCCGCCATATACGCATTTGACCGTCATCCACGAACATAATTTCGTAGACCCAGTGACAGGTGCATGCACGAACAGAGTAGAAGGATATTGGAAAAATGTAAAAAGACGCTTTAAGTGCATGCAAGGAGTACACAACTCCATGCTTGCCTCGCACTTAGATGAATTTATGTGGCGAGAGCTGCACGGGAAAGACCCGAAAACTGCTTTCAACAATTTTATTGACCACCTGTCTCAGTGGTATCCTGCACCGTAGAAGTAAGTTGATATGCCGTTTAAATGTCGTTTTAGATTAGATCTATATAGATCTAGATTTATAGTAAATTCTATCTAAATAGCAGTTTTGGCTCCTTTTAGACTCGGCCAATAACTGTCTCGCGATCTTAACACGCCCCCCCGGTATCCAATATGGCCGCCACGTAAACAAAAGAGACGGGACCGCACTGGGTAAGTAGTGCCCAAATCCCAGCCTGGATGTTCTTGAACTTGGGTCGCTTGTGGAGTTTTCAAAGCTCTCAACCCATTTGGCTCGGTCTTATCGGAGACAACATTCCTTGTAATCCAAGGTTACCAGGTACAGCGTCTTGAAAGTACAAAGTCTTGATGGCTTTCTTGTGCTGGCTTTGGATTACGCTGAGCTACTTTTTCATTGCTCATGCCGTGTTGACAAATTCAACCACGACGAAACAAGCTAACGTACTGTTTTGTCACTATTTCGGTAGGTACCTTCAGTATAAGGGGGATACAGTTTTTATTGAACTACATCCCCCGTTCTGCTCTTCATGAGGTTTTTGTTCCTTTCCTGCAGAAGGACCAGTGTCTGTGGTGTTATGGTTACACACTTTGCCATTGCTCTCAGCAGATGTGAGTTGAGTCCAGTGTTGGTAAGTCTATTATGTGGACTATTTTTACACTTCGGCCAGGGTGTTTTATCCTTCTGTTCGGACTTAAGATTTTCCTTGACAGGGAGGGTTGAAGCATCTCGCCTCCTATCTAATGTTTATTTTTTCGTCGACGGGGCTTACAAACCAACGTAGTATTGGTATGCTGGGATAATATATTGGAATGTCTCGAATCTTTGGCACCGCTTCTGTTTTCCCTCTAGCTGCGACTCGTTCTGTTCCATTCTTTGAAATGGGGGATCTCCCTCTCAGGAATCTTTGGGCCACTCCCAGCAGTTTGGACATCTGCAGTCAGTCAAGTCCTTGAAATTGTAAATGGTGTCCCTTTTCCTCATGTTCTTCTCCACACGACCATGAAGCGAGTTGCTTGAGAGGAATATGTGCCCGCCAAGTATTTGAAGGTCACAGCGTGAAGCAGGGGGTAGCTGTTCTCATTCTGGCCAGAGATGTAAAAATGTACCAGTTCCTTATTCTTGTTAGAGCTTTTTCCCCACCAAATGATGGTGTACCTGGTGTGATCTTGTGGATAGCCTTCACGAAAGTCTAAGATACTGTCTCTTTCTGAACAAATAGGTCCAGACAGAGTACCGAGAGGTTCAAAGTCAAGGTCGGTAATTGATCTTGCTTTTCAGACAATTTTTCTTTAACATTTTCTTTTTACCGTGGAGTTGGGAAGCACAATGTATTTCAATGTGTGTTGTTTTTTTTTTAGCTCCGTATGTAACCCTATGTTCAGTTATCTACTATACTACTGTTGTGCTGGTTACACCACTCTGGCTTGTGGTCATATATATGTAATTAGTCAAACATGACAGAAAAACTGTAATATTTTTGCTATTTTTAATAATCAACAAAAATGAATATGATGTTAAAAGAAAAGGTCGAAACTTTGGGGTCCTACAATCTACAGAAGGGTGACAGATCATCTACTATTTCCTACATCACTTGCTATAACATTTATCGGATGGACTTACAATCTTTGTACTCTCCTGCGTCTATCATCAACATTTAAAAGTCACTTCTCAATACATCTTTCGGAGGGATCTTACAAATCACGGACTTAACTGATTTTGGGACAACATAGGTGTTGAATGAATATTCGCCCAGCGCTAAGATTCCCTTCTCTGCGGGATGATGCCCTGGGGGCAGTGGCGTCCAGAACAACACAATACACGTTTTCCGTTTTTATCCACGAGAGTATAGGCTTCGAACTTGACGTTTCGTATTCTCGCGCCGAGCACTGGCGTCCAGGGCAATAATTGTGCCTGACATTTACGAGTCCGAGCTCGCTTCACTTTGTTACACTTAGCCGTCTTCCAGTTGTTGCCATGAGAACACAGCGATGCAGACGTGTCCTTGCAGTCATCCGGACAGTCCATACAATTTTATAAGAAAGTCATAATCACAAAACAAGAAAAGAACTATCTAGCCTATTTTCTTACCGCCCCGTTTTAGGAACTTTGAAAGCTCTTCGATGTTACAGTCTTACCATTGACAGAGCTGAAATGTAACCGTGCAGAACTCATTGCGACATTGCGGTTTTAATAACCACATCTTTCTGAATATAGGATATATTCATCTGCAGCAAATTCATTTGCAGTCAGAGCTCCCGTGCATTCATTCCAGATTTGACATACACAGTCCTTTCTCGCTAGATCATATAGGTCTACTGTGAAATTGTGTACACATAATCAGGTCTTATAGTACAAAGCAGATGCATTAGTGGGTGAACATTGCCGAACTGATTGCAGTTCCATGGTGATGCATTTGATTTTTGGGTTGCCCATACAATTTTCCTGCTGTCTTTTCATCCTGTCCACGTTTAACTCTCATGCAATGCTGATTGTGTGCCCCATCTTCCATATTTCCCTCCCCAGAGCCCATACAAAGATAGATCACACCTATCTTTTTAAGGATGGAACAATGACAGGTTCAAAGCATTGAACTCTTCTTTAAACTTGAAGGTAGAAATTAGAATGTACCTTGAACACCCCCCCCCCCCAACGCCCTCTTTTCTTTATATGTAAACGGTACGCTGCCTGTAAGCTCTGGAAAACAGGTTTCAAGTATAACTTACTGGAGTCCTTCCTATGGCGACTTGGGCAGATCGCGAAGAAACTGTCTCAGTGCCTTTGATTTTTTATTCTATAGTCTAACGGCCGCTTTACCCGTTCGGGGCCGTTCCCGCAGGATAGTTCATCAAATCAGGTCAAGGTCGTGTGTTAAGGCGAAAGCAAAACCGGAGGGAGGGTATAGTCAGAGGGGAGTTGTCTAATGATATTCCAGATCCTGGATTGGTCTCACTTAGAGAGAATTTTAAGATGGCGTTTTGTCCTTGACCAATATATTATAGTGTGTGTTGAAATAGGGTAAAATCTCTCATTGGAACTGTTATTGTTAC